CTTGTCCCCCCCAAAAAAAGTAAAATGTAAAATGTAAAAGTTATCCTTAGCTGGGCCACTGAGAGGGCTCAGCAGGTAAAGGTACTTGCTTCCAAGCCTGACAGCCTGAGTTCAATTCCTAGAACCCATATGGTGAAAGGAAAGAACTCCTACAAGTTGTCCTCCACACGTGTCATGGTACACACACACACACACACACACACACACACGAAATAAATGTAAAAAAATAACAGTTATCTTTAGCTCATAGGCCATTCAAAAACAATAGACTTGAAGATGGCTTAGTGGATAAGTGCTTACCATGCAGATATGAAGACCTGAGTTCAAATCCCCAGAACCCACATAAAGCCAAGTGAATTAACATGTGCCCGTAATCCTAGTGCAGTAGGGGAGGATGAGACAGGAGAATTCCTGGAACCTCGAAGGTCATCTAGCTTGGGGCATGTACAGCAGTGGGTAACAGAGAATCCATCTCAAAGTACAAGGCACGGATGGACACCTAAGGTTGTCCTTTGATCTTCACACTTGAACTATGGTACACACATGTTCACACATTTGCATATATACAGAGAGTTGGGGTAGGGGGACAAGCAACATTTTGAACCATTTGGCCTAAGAACTGGGTTGCAGTTGCTGAGCCAGGCTATAAGGGATGGGGGACATTAGAGGATTTTAGATCAGTTCAGTATTTTGCATAGCTCCCTCTAGTTTCAGTCAGACTTCTAGGCTCAGGGCTGAAGATGGGACTGTTTTTATTAACAGGCTGTGCAGCAGTCTGGGTAATAAAGGGACGGGCTTGAAATAGGGTAATATTAACAAGGTTGAAAAAAAAAGAAGCTTGCCTGCAGATGTGTATTTTGGAATCAAAATCAGCAGAACTTAGTGATAGATATGCATGGATGGTAAGAAATAAAAACATTGGTGTCCCAGTTACAGTTTAGAAAGCAGTGGTCCCAGCTTAACAGGATCCCCAAGCTCTCTCACTGACCATCGAAGAAGCATGATACTGCTTTTTTTTTTTAATCTGTATGCGTGTATTGCCTGCATGTAGGTAAGTGCACCCATGTCGTGCAGTGTCTAGAGTTACAGACAGTATTAGCTGCCATGTGGGTGCTGGGATTTGAACCTGGGTCTTCTGGAGTAGTAGCCAGTGCTCTTATCTGCTGAGGTAGGGACTCTGGTCCCTAACTGTCGTGCAATGCCTGTGGAAGACAGAAGAGGCTGTCAGATCCCCTGGAACTGGAGTCACGGACAGTTGTTAGCTGCCATGTGGGTACTGGAATTCGAACCTGGGTCTTCTGCAAGAACAGTCAGTGTTCTCAACTGCTGAGCTATCTCTCCAGCCCCTACAGCCTTTTTTTAATTAAATAATTTCTTTAATATTCATGCATGCATATAATTTGTTTGGATCCAATTAATGCAACAAGTCCTCCCACACCCCCTCTCTCCCTACCCCATCTATTTAATACCCACTAAGTCCATTTAGTGCTGCCAGGGTATGCATGGGTGTGGAGATGTGTAGCTTCTCATGGCCTACATTTCTGAAGAAAGTAGCTCTCTCTCTCAGTGGCCATCAACTGCCAATGGCTCTTCAGCTAGGGACTTTGTGAGCCCCTCCCTCATCCATACTGGGATTGTGGCTGGCTTGATCTTGTGCAAGTCTTGTGCATGCAATCCCAGTGTTTGTGAGTTCGTATGTGCAACTCCACCGTCATGTTGGGGAAATACTGTTTCACTAAGACATCACTCCTGACATTTCTTCCATGATGATTCCTGAGCTTAAGAAGATAATGACTTTTTTTAAACAATTATCTTTATTTAAATTTTTAAAATTTAATTTGGACAACTGCATACAGGCTAACCATGCGGTACGATGGCATTCGTCCCTGTTACCCTCTCTTGTCCCTCTCCCACTCCTGCTGACCTCCTTCCTCCCATCTAGTCTTCCTGCTACTTCCGTGTCTTTGTTTATTTTGTTTCCTTTGCTGAAAACTGCAGCTGCTGTGTGTTCATGACTATGGCAGTCATGTATGTCATAGCCAGAAGTAAGCATTTCATAGCACTCCTGGGCTGGGGCCATTTATAGGGTCCTCCTTTTAGCCTCAAAAGGAAAGCAATGTTAGCACATAGTACCTCACCCAGTCAGAAGAGCCCTCTCTGGTTAGCATAAGTAGGAATACTTTGTTTGCAGCTGAACAGATAGTCTAATTCAGAGGGTTACTGTATAGAAAATGCTACCCCAGTAGTCTATGAGTACCTTCCATCATGACATTTTCCCCTATCCTGTCACACAAAATGTGGTGCCGAGTGATCCCTTCCAAAGTAGATATTGCAGAAGATAAACAAAGCCTCCTGATTTTGAAGAAATTTAAGTAGTAGCATCTAAGAGGCTAATTAGGATGAACTCCCTCTTCCCTGTTAACTCACCAAACTACATCTCAGTAGTTTTTGCCTTCTCAGCATATAGTGAAGGGAGTAAGATAAATTGGAAGCTTGTAATCCCAATTGTTAGTAAATGTTACATTACCATAACATTACATAAATCATCAAGGTTGCCTGGCAAAGCCCTTCCCATATGCATACTTCTGGAGGATTTTTCCATGTGAATATTAATGATAAACTAACTTAATTTGTGTTATAATTTAGGGTACTGTTTGGGCACAAGGAAGACCAAGTTAAGTAAAAACCATGTGCATTGTACATGTGTGGTGTACATCCTTTCATGAAATAAGACTAATTGGAGAATTGACTAAGTGTGTTGTGAATTTCACACCCCTAAATTTTCACAATGTGGAGTCTACCCTTCTATTTTTATTACATTTATTTATTGATGGGGGGGCATGTACATGCCCTAGTATGCGTGTGGAAGTAAGAGAACAACGTTCAAGAATCGGTTCTATCCTTCCACCATATGGGTCCTGGGGATTAAGTCCACGTCATCATGCTTGGCAGCAAGCGTCCCTATCCACTGAGTCATCTCATCAGCCCCATATCCTGTTTTTGAATATTGTTTTTCTCTAGAAATTTCTAGAGTATGAAGTAGTAGCCCATTTCAGTTTCTGTAGCAGTTATATAT